ATTAAAAAAAAATATTTTTTTTGTTCTAATATTATTTTTTAATTTACAAAATTTAATAAACTTAATTATTATAACTTATAATTTATAAGTATATTTAAATTATTTTATTTTTAGATATATAATAAATTATAAAAATTAAGAAACTAAAAAAAAGATTCACTGATTCCAGCATATGATGGTTGAGTTTGTGTGTATGTATGTGTGTGTATGTGTGTGTATGTGTGTGTATGTGTGTGTATGTGTGTGTATGTGTATGTGTGTGCGTGATTGAGTCATAATGTCTAGATAAGCATGGTAGTTTGCATCATACTGTACTTTATACTGTATAGCCCAATATACTGTATAGTATACAGTGTATACTATCATCTATGGTAGACTATCCTATCTATACTATGTATGCTACCAGTGATGCATTAGTGATATATATATATATATATATATATATATATATATATATATATATATATATATATATATATATATATATATATATAGATTGAAAGTGAAATAATTATACGGAAATATTACTCAGATATTCAGACAAACCTATCATATGACTGTCCCATAGTTTATTTTATTGATTATTATGTACCGTATATTATATATTAATTAATTATTTTTGATTATGTTGTTGTTGTCTGTGATTTGTATATATATACGAAAAAAATTAGTGTTTAAATAATGTAAAATATTTAATATATATTATAAATTAGTTAGCAAATGATTACAATTGATACATGAGTTTTGTATTTTATTTAGTATTTAGTAAACCATGTGTTTGTTGCCAATTGAGACTGATTGATGATAGTCTACAAATGATAGTCTACAATGGACAGTAAATAATATTAAACTACTAGTGCAATAAAAAGGTAGTGCAATATGCTGGTCTACAATAGGGAAGGGTGGGTCCGACCCGACCCATCATAACTACCATTCATTAGGATTCTACAAAACTTTTGACCAATTATTTCTAGTATTTTTGTTATTTTTAAATAAAAAAAATAAAAAGATGCAAATAATTTCAATAAGTATTATCATAAAAATAATTTGATGCAACAAATTTTTGTTTTGTTTGATTTGATTTTTAAATTTTTAGATAGTAATAACTTAAGGATAAATTGTAAATTAATTAATTAACTACAAGTATGACTATAATATGAAGTAAAGTATTTTTTTAAATATTAAAAGTTGTAAACTATACTTAAACTTCAATTTATTATTTATAGAATTGAGACATAATTTATTCATTAAAAATTCAAACATTTTAAACAATTCAAAATTAACTAATATTGAGACAGTTATTTTGCACTTAATATATATATTGATTAAAATTGTATATTAATATAACTAATCTAACAGATATTTTGATAATAATTTTTAAAAATTTACTTATAAGTATAATTAAACTCATACTTAATCATTTAAAATGTACTAGTTTATTTTTGTAATCTAATTTTATAAACTAATTGGCTGATCACTGATATAGAGTTTATTATAGTTGAAAATAAATGCTTTAATATATATTAAAGTTAAGTTTTTTTTTAATTTTTATATCAACTAAATAAGTCAAAAAAAATTATTATTGATTAATATATACATTACTTATGGAGTTATGGAGTGGTAGTCAACTGTTTTAGGTATACTACTGCGGCTGAATCGTTACGTCAAACGGCTGATCCACCGGTTGTACACCATTTTGTATACTATAAGTGTATAACTGGTTATATGCTGTACCAAAACACAGTCGTATAGTCGACTGTCCGGTTGATAATTGTGTCAATCAATACAATCTGGACAATTTGGTCCATATGGATGATATGCATACTCTGATACTGCCCAGTTGTTTATCTACTGCCAGTACAACTGTGGACTGGGAGGCAATCCACTAGCACTGGCCAATCATATTTGTCCGCTGGCACCGGCCGACGACATTGGTCATACATACAGGTCGACTGAAGTGCAACGGCTTCGCAGTAATTATCAATTTTATACAAACCAAATACAACTCATGGAGAGTGAGCTCCGGGATCTGATCAGAAACTATGTCATCAAAAGCTATGAATATCATCAGCTAATGCTGGAAAACAGAGCCATACGTTTCAATCAAAATCAATTAGTGATTCATCAGTCGGACACAATGAGACAACAAGCCGGGGCCTATCGCAAGCATTTGAAACAATTGGCCAAACAGTCGGATATGAGACAACAGGAGCTGAAGTCAAGATCGATGAACTAACTGTACAAAAGTCACAATTGATAGACGAGTTTCGTTTGGTATTGAATAGTGATAACCAATTGTTGCCAATTGATGTCCAACCGGCTACTTGTCTACTAAATAGTTTTGAGGACAGTAGTCCCGATTACAATGTCGATATTCAACAAATATTTGCCGCTAATAACCACATCCACCAAAATAATTATTATAATAATATTGATAATAATAATAATAATACTAATAATAATCAAATTTTAGTGCCAAACACTGCCAATGATATTCTGGTTAACAATACTGACGGGTTGTCCGACCCGTCAGAACTGCCATTCTTCGAGTTTCTTCAAAGATTTGCCAATTATTTCTAGTTTTTTATTTTTGAATTGTAAAACAAATTATTATAAAATTATTATAATTATATAACAAACCGTAATTAGCTTTATGTAAATAATTAAATTAAATTATAAATTAATAGATTAATTAAAACAAAAAATATATACATATAATCATAATTTTGAAAAAATTGTACAAATTATCATAAAATGTCATAAAATAATATATCAAATGTTTTTTTCGTATTAAACAATATCTCATTTGTTGTAATATTATTTTTTTAATTTACAAATTTTTAAGTAAAATTAATTATTATAAATTATATTTTATAAGTATATGTATATTTTTTATTAATAATTTTTCTTTATTACTCTTAAATATAATATTTTATAAAATCATATATATATATATATAAATATATATATAGCGATTCCTTCAAACTTTATTAGACACCCATACAGTACAATGCATTGGTATTATATGTAATTATCGAATGTTTATTTTAATGCATTGTATATACTATGGGTGTCTAATAAAGTTTGAAGGAATCGGTATATAAATGTATAAGTAAATATAAGTGTATATATATATATATGTGTGACTGTGTGTTTGTGTTATTGGTGTCCGAAAATGATACTATTACTCAGTCTACGACTGTCCCAAAAATAATAATATATTTTATTATTATAAAATTTATAAAACTTTTTATGATATGATACATAACCTAACCTAACCTATTATAATATAACCTAATATAATTTTAAAAAAATGATGCCTAAGATATGTCTATCAGTATGACTGTCGCATAGTTTATTTTATTTATTAGTATGTACCGTATTTTATGTATTAATTAATTAATTTTTTTGATTTTGTTGTTGGTGTCTGTGATTGTTGTATGTATACGAAAAAAATTAGTGCTTAAATAATGAAAATATTTAATATATATTATAAATTAGTTAGTAAATGATTACAATTGATACATGAGTTTTGTATTTTATTTAGTATTTAGTAAACCATGTGTTTGTTGCTAATTGATGGCCAATTAAGTTGATTGATGATAGACAACAATTAATAGTCTACAATGGACAGTAAATAATATCAAACTACTAGTGCCATAAAAATAAGCCAATGATATGCTGGTCAACAATAGGGACGGGTGGGTCCGGTCCGATCCGACCCATCATGACTACCATTCATTAGGATTCTACAAAACTTTTGGTCAATTATTTCTAGTATTTTATTTAGTATTTAGTAATCCATGTGTTTGTTGGCCCATTGATAGCCAATTGAAACTGATTTAGTGATAGTCGACAATAGATAGTAAATAATATCAAACTACTAGTGCCATAAAAAAGCCGATGATATGCTGGTCAACAATAGGGACGGGTGGGTCCGATCCGATCCGACCCATCATGACTACCATTCATTAGGATTTTACAAAACTTTTGGCCAATTATTTCTAGTATTTTATTTTATTTAAAAAAATTTTTAAAATGAAAAGATGAATAATTCGATGAAAGTTAAAAAGTTTGTAAAGTTATTTATTTTGATGCAACAAATTTTTGTTTGATTTTAATTTTATTTTTTTAATTTTTAGATACTAATAATTTTTTTTGAGATAAAAATTAACTCAACTATAAATTGTAAATTAAACTTTGAAACCGTTATTTCGAAAATTGAAAACTAAAGGTATGACTACAAGTATGACTATAATATAGAGTAAAGTATTTTTTTAACATTAAAAGTTAAAAACTATACTTAAACCTTCAATTTTAGAATAATTTATATTCAATAGAATTGAGACATAATTTATTTTTAAAAATTATAAATTCAAACATTTTAAACCATTGAAAATTAACTATAATATTGAGACAGTTATTTTCCACTTAATATATATTTATTTATTAAAATTGTATACTAATATAATATAACTAATTTAACAATGTACTAGTCCAAATGTATAATCTAATTTTACAGTATATAATTGGCATCACTGATATAGAGTTTATTATAATTGAAAATAAATGCTTTAATTTTAAATGTTTTTAATATATTTATACAAAATAGTTCACACACTATATAGTAATTAATTAAAATATGACAAATAATCATTTTGTTGATTAAGAAACTTCACATATTTAACAATATTGTTGTTTATTATTATTATTTATTATTAATAATTATTACTAATAATTTTCATAATAATGTATTTAATGCTAATTGAATATATATATAATGGAAAAAAATTATTATCTTTTTCTAAAAGTTTTTAACAAGAAAAATATATTTAGTAGTAAAATTTATCTAAAAATGTAAATAACTATAAAAAAAATAATATTATGTTTATATTATAGTTAAGTTAATGTTAAATCAACGACACATCAAACCTATTAATTGAATGTAGACTATAAATACTATAATATACTTTATTATAATTAATAACATTTTGGATTTTGGAAATACTATTTCAAGGTATTATCAATACTTATATCTATATTTAAAATATTTTATAATTTAATTAATTAGTTAATAATTATGATTTTTAAATAATAAAGTTATTAATATTTAGTAATGGTTTCTAACCAAATAGATTTTTACTTTCATAACGATATATTACTGTTAAATTGCAACCAAAAAAATTTCCATTAATTAATTTTCAATTTAATATTAAATATATATAATATAATATTTTCTTGTTGTTATATAGTTTATAAATAACTATAAAAAAATAATGATATTATGTTTATATTATAGTTAATTTATATTCAATGAAACATAAGTAAAACGTGTCAATTGAATTTGATTTACAAATACTATAATATACTTTATTAATAACGTTTTGGATTTTTTTTGAATTACTATTTTAAGGTATTCTCAATACTTATATATATATATTTAAAATATTTTATAATTTAATTAATTAGCTAATAATTTTAATAAATAAATTGAATAATTATCAAACTTAGATCGTATACTGTATATTATATACAGTATTATTATTAATGATAACACCAATATAATAGTGCGCTATTTTTTATTTTACTGTTAAATTGCAACCAAAAAATGTCGAGTAATGAATATATATAATATAATATTTTCTTGTTGATATATAATTTGTAAATAACTATTAAAAAATAATAATAATATCTTTATATTATAGTTAAGTTAATATTAAATTAACCTCTCAATTGAATATAGACTACGAAAACTATAATAAAATTTATTAATAACCTTTTTGGATTTTTTTTTTGAAATACTATTTTAAGGTACTTTCAGTACTTATATAAATATATGATTAAAATATTTAATTAGTTAATAATTATGATTTTTAAATAATAAAATTATTAATACCTAGAAATGGCTTCAAACCTAATGGATTTCTACATTCATAACGATATATATTCGCATCCATATCACGTCAATCCTGTTATTGGGGACTATTTTATTGGACAAACGGGAAGATTTCATCAAAACAACCCGGAGATGTTTATTGTACGACAATCGCCGATATTGCCGCCGACCGATATCAGTTGGTTGCCGCCGCAACTATTGCAACAACCGGGAAACAATGTCCACCAGTACTGTATAGTACCGATACCGGCCATTGCCTACGACCAGATAAAGTGCTGGATATGTTATGGAGTGGTAGTCAACGGTTTTAGGTGTACTACTGAGGCTGAATCGTTTGGTCAAACGGCTGATCCACTGGTTGTACCGCATTTTGTATGCTATAAATGTATAACTGGTTATATGATGTGCCATCAAAGTCGTATAGTCGACTGTCCGGTTGATAATTGCATCAATCAATTCAATCTGGACAATTTGGTATATATGGATGCTATACATACTCAGATGACTGCCCAATTGTTTATGTACTGCGAGTGCAACTGTGGAATGGGGGGCAATCCACTAGCACTGGCCAATCATATTTGTCCGCTGGCACCCGACGACGATATTGGCCATACCTACAGGTCGACAGAGTTGCAACGTCTTAGGCAGCATAATCAATTTTATGTCAATCAAATACAGCTCATGGAAGGTGAGCTCCGGGACCTTATACGTAACTATGACACAAAACGCTATGAATACCATGAGCTGATAGTCGAAAACACAGCCATCCGACAAATTCATAGTCGACTACAGTCACTGATGGCTGATATATTAAGTGAGCTCAGGGATGAGTACCGACAGCTAATGGACAGTAAGGAGTTAGTCGAGAACGAGCTCAGGCACGTACTCCACAGTTATAATGTCAAACGCCAGGCATATCATGATCTCCAACAACAGAATCGATGGCTTATTCAATATAATTGGACAGTTATACAACAAAACACTCACTTTAACCGACAGATTAGTCAACTGGAACTACAGGTGCTGTCATTACAAGAACAGTTGGATCGTATGAATTTGGTATAATATGTTTGGAACTTATCCGGTTAAGTATATATATATGATTATTAATTATTAAATATTATGCAATACAGCAAAATAAAATTAATTAATTAATTAAAAAAAATTGATATAATATATGTGTGACTAGAGAAGAGCAAATATATTATATATATATTATAGATATAATATTATACTATACAGTATAGTGCATTACTATACAAATGTGATACCTATATATAAAATAATTATAATTATTTAATAATAATTAATTTAGTAAAATTGTATTTATCATTATATTATATATAATTTATATTAATTAAACTACAGTATGATATATATTATATATCATACTGTAGTTTAATTAATTAATTTTTTACTTTAATTAATAGTTAAAATATTAAAATAATAATATTTACGGTAATGTATTGTTATATAATAGCAATATCGAGATAACAAAATTAAAATGGGAATCCCATAGATAGAAATTTCTTTTAGAAACTTTCTAGAAATTTCTCTTTTTTGCCAACACTATGTGTGACTAAAATCATAAAATATATTATTAATAATTTAATCTAATTAGTCACAAAAAAGACAAATTTGATAATTTATGAAACTTTATTTTAAAAAAAAATATTAGTTATGACTATTTTGACTTTTTGTGACTATTTTGACTTTTATTTGACAATTTTCTTATTTTATGATAATTTGACAATTTTATAATTTATATTATACTAATAATAGACTAAATGACAAATATTATTTAATATATTTAATTTTTATACTAATTTATTATGTATTATGTATGTCAAGTGTTTAAATGCAATTCAGAAAAAACTAACAAAAAAAATGGAAATAATATAAGAAAAATAAAAATTATTAAAAACATAATAGCTTAAAAAGTACATAAAAATGATATATACTTTATTAGTTAAAAATAGGTCATAATTAATTTAAATGAAAATTTAAAAATAATTTAATATAATTAAATAATTATTAATATCTTATTAATATATGAGATTTTGTTATCGATAAATATATCCAAAAATTTATATATTTGTATTTATTTTTGTATTTGTATTTTTAATTTAATGTATACATTATTTTATTTGTTTATACTTATTGTTATATTTAAAAACCTTAAATATTCTATTAAGTAATTTTAAAATTTTTATTATAAATTAATAATTTTTTTTATTTATTAAATAAAAAAATAAATCTAATTTAAAATTAATAAGATATTTTTGTAATATGATTAAATATTAATTTAGACAAACTATTTAGTTTAACAAAAAAATTGTTACATATATATATATTATAAGAAAAGTAATATACAGTATATATATATTAAATATGAAATTTTTATTTTTAAAAATGGTTACAAACTATATAAAAATATCTAATTGTTTTATACATTATATGCTTATTAATTTAACATTAATAATGATTATTAAATTTTGTATTAATTTTTTTTAAAAATTATAAAAATTAATGTTTAATAATAATGTTATTAATATAAGAAAATGTTATTAGTAAACATTAATTTTGATTAAACAATAAGTTTATAAATTAATTTGTATTTTCACTGTAATTTTGTTTTAATTTTTCTATTATTATTTAATCTTATATTATATTTATTATTATATTTAATATTATTTAAATTAAGTTTTGTTGTATCATAAAACTTATTGTCATAGATTATTGACTAATTAATCTAAAAATTTTTAAATGTTAAAAAACATTTACAAAATAAATCGATATAAATAAAAAAATAAACTAACTATTGTTTTACTTTTAGTTTGAATATTGTTGATTAAGTTTAATATTGATTGAATTAAATTAAATAATTGTATCGAATTATTAATATCATTAATAAAATTTAAAAAAATATATGTATTATTTTTATTTAAAAAAACGTAAATATTACTTATTTATGATATAATACAGTATTTGTAGTTTAAATTCAAAATACATACATACATGTGTTTTTTAATACATACACAACTATATAATTGACTAATAGAAAAATAGCATTACGAAATGCCTTGTATTAAATATTATAGACTTGTTTGTTAAACATATATACTTTAAACACACACACATATATACATACACACACATACATAAGCACACATATATACACACATATATATATACACATACACACATATATATACACACATACACACAAATATATACAGTGTATTACACACACAAACAAACAATAATAACAATGCTATTTTGTTTGTTTGTATTTAGAAAAAATAAATAAATAAACTTATTTCAATTTGCCAAAATTTAGCTAGTTAATTTAATATACAGTATCATATAAAGTGTATATTCTATACAGTACATACTGTACTGTACCGTATATAATGTACATTATTTTTGTATACTACTGTACAGTAAATATATTGTATTAAGTAGCCATATTAAAATGCGATTAAATATTTGATATAACACTGATTTAAAAAACATTAATAAAAAATATAAAAAACAAAAATAAATAACAAACTGTATAATTGACATTTTTATTTATTTACATTATACTAAATGATTATTATTTTTTATTAATATATTATCGTAACTATTATTTAATATTACAGTTTGATTAAATGATTACTGTTTATTATTATTAATAATAATTATTATTTGTTTGATTAATTATTTTTTTTAACATCGACTTTATTATGTAAGTACTGGTATTATTGATAATAATTTATAGATATTAATCTATATTTGCACTTTATATATATATATGACATTAATTATCATTACAATTATCATTATAATTAATTTTTCCACTTATTAACTATAGTGGTTAACTATAGTTATTTATTTTATTAACAATCAAATTAACTAATAATAATAATAGACATTTAATAACTGTATTTATCTATTTGTTTAATTTAACAATATTAATGTAAATTAAATACAAATTAATTTAATAGTTAATTTAGCATGCATGTTTTTAGTTAATTTTACTATCTCTCTCTCTCTCTCTCTCTCTCTCTCTCTCTCTCTCTCTCTCTCTAATTAATTATTAATTAATAAAAAATAAAAAATAAAATTAACCTTGTGCATACATATTATAATATAGCTGTTTGTGTCACTAAAAAAATGGATCGTCCAACTAACCTAACTGACCCCAATGTTTGGTTAGCCAGTATGACCAACAAGTATCGATCAAATCCGAACTTTTGGAGTACACTACCCGACAGTCTATATCGGTCACTATGCGGTGGCAGCGGTGGCGGCACCGTTGACCATAATAATACTGATAACGGTGATACTACTGATAGTAGCTCTAGTAGCTGCTGTACGGGAACAGGTGGTCGACTAACAGGACGGCTGCGGCATACTTCCAGATCAATATCATTGGCATCATCGACATCGACAACAACATCATCGTCAAGCATCATAACAAACAATACGACCGCTGATAACGGTAGTGATGTTGACAATTTATATGATGGACAGCACTCGGATTACATGGAAACGGTAGGCCAACAGGATGTCGGCGATATACGCTGTTACATATGTACCGACTATCTGGTCGATCCGGTTCGCTGTACCAATTCGGTCGATAGTCACGCTGAGCCGATTGAAGATTTTTACGGGTCCTATGGCTCAGACACCTATCACGCTGCCTGCTATCAGTGTGTAGTCAATCAATTTTATGAGCACCTGGTCCGGGATCGTTATCTGCCACTGGACCTGGATTGTTGGTGTCGGGAGAAAAAATTCTACATCAACAATCTGGTACCCATTAATCTAAAATGGACCCGAGCACTCAATCCCGTATATGTAGTCGAGTGTACCAACCAGTGTGGTCTAATGGGTTCGCTGATAGCCATGAGCCGACATGTGTGTCCTAATCTTTCGGCTAATAATCATCATATTGTTGGCCGATTGTTTAGTATGAGTGCCGATTGTGATGGTGCCGGTGCTGGTGCTGGTGGACAGTTGGCCGAATTGATACTTGAAAAACAAAAACAACAATTGGAAATCGATAGACTTAAAAACCAGATTGACCACAAACAACAATTGATACAGGAGCAATCGGATGAAATTAGACAATTAAAATTGTTACATATAGTCTATGCACTGGGTCAGTTATATAATAATCATATGGACATTGATGATGCAGATGCAGGTGCAGCTGCTGCTGCTAATGATGGTGATAGTAGTAATGATAGCAACAATACTGTTAAAGTAATTGATAATATATGGCTTATAGATGATGATGATGATGGGGATGATAATACCAATAATGATGCCATCATTAATAATAATAATAATAATACAATTGCCGATAATTTTGGTGATCATATATTTTTCGAGTTTGTTGACCACGAATATCGTGACGATATGGAAGATAATCTATAGAAACAAAAATTATCAAAAAAAAAACAAAAATTAATTAATTAATTATTATTATTGTTGTTATTATTTTTTGATTAGAAAAACTAAATTCAAACATATGGCACATGTACTAGAGGGGGGGGTCGCCCAGTGATTTACTAAATAATAATAAGATGATGATGCGACATATATGCTACCCCCTGCATATATATATATATATATATACAATAGGATAAATCACCCCCACCCAGAAAAAATAGGTGTGTGTGTGTGTACTCTCAATCAATACATTCAATACATACCGGTTAAAGAAACAGTAGTTTCAATGGTTATACTTGAGGTCAAATAAAAATATTATTTGAAATATTCAGAAAAATTTCATTAATAAAAAAACTGATTCAAAATAAAACAACAACTAATATAATATCAAAAATATCAATACATATTATAAAATTATATATATAATTATTATAACTAATTAACTAACCCGTTATATATGATATATTTTTATATTATATAGACTTTTTTATTATATTCAAATATATATATATATATATATATATATAACTAATTGTGAAAAACAATATATTAAATATATTGTATAATGATATTTTAATGAATATTATTTTTTTTAAAAAACAAATTTTTATATAATTGAAACTTTATGTTAACATATTTTAATTTTTTTTAAATTATTTTTTTTATATTCTAATTTTATTATCAATTTAATTATTTTATCTATATAATATAATTAATTAAAGATAAATAAAATTATTATTTTAACTAATTTAAATATTTTTTTAAATACTTAACTACAGGTAATTTTCAATTATTATAATATATATAAATGCGGGTATTATATGGTTTTGAATATTCACTTAAAATCAATTATACAGTATATATTAAAATAATAATTTGAAATATAAAATACACTTGAATTACAGTTTTAAAAAATTAACTTATAATATATAATAGATTCTACATATTTAATAAATGATTATCAAAAAATCATTTTATTGAAAATAATAATAATGCAATATAGATATTATTAATATTATCGGTAATTAATTAATTATAAACTTATTGCAGTATATTTTGAAATTATTACATTATTTTCTTAATATATAATAATAATTATTATTATTGTTATTATCTATCAAAGATAGCATTGCATTATTGTTTTTTAATACATATTTTTATATTCACTGGTCATAGTTAACATATGTTAAATTATATATACAGTATATAAATATATGTACGGTTGCCATATCAGACATAATGTGCCGGACAGTCATGAATTTAAGCAAATTTTTGTATGAGTGTCCGGCAATAATGTTCAGCCATTAGACCATACATTGTTAGTAAATGAAATTAAAAATAATTTTTAAATAATAAAATATTTTCAAGTTTTTATTTAATATAATAATTACTTTATTATATATATATATGTTTTGTTTGATTGTAGTTATCAGTAACCGTCACATCAAAAAACATTGACTCTCAAGTAAGTCAGTCATACAAAATACAGTATAATATTATTTATATTGATTATTGTCTAACATTTAATCTTTATTGATGTATATATAAGGGTTAATGATTTAATTTTTTCTCTGTCTAAATAAATATTTATTTAATTATATATGTAATTCATTAACTATACGGTACACTTGATATATATATATATACTAAATTACAATTAGTATTATAATTAAAACATATGTATAAGTACTAATAAATTAAGTTTTAGTAGTAAATTAATAAAGTATTTATAGTATTTATATAGATGATAGATAATAATTTTATCAAAATAAATATAATAATTAATTAGTTAATAATAAACAGATAAATAACATTTTTTTTATAAATATAATATAAACTTAAATATATATTTTATTGACCTGTCAATATTGGTTCAATATTTTTATCACAATTTGACCATGGAGATTTTAATATTCCCGTATTGTAATGTACCAATGTTGGCAACTATACATAACTTTATATACCAGTATATATATATATTATAAAATTTATAATATATATATATATAATATTGATTGCAACTATTTAAAAGTAATCCATGTAATATAATATCATTTAGTAAACTTTGTACAGGAACTATAATTATAATAATAATAATAATTAGACACATAATATACCGGTATATTATTACTATTAATAATAATAATAATACTATTGTAATATTGTAAAGTCGCTATAAGCGATTATCTATTTTAGACATAATAATCAACTATATATAATGAAAAACTATTACACTATTACTAATTTAATAAAATAAAATTTTAATCATTGATAATAAATTATATATAAAATATGTAATATATATATATTAATACATTTCTATGATATCTCCGGTAGTTATATATACTGCAGGGTTAAGTAAGGGGGGGGTAGGGGGGGTAAGGCCAAAATACCCCCCCTAAGATCGAGAAATTGGGATTTTACCCCCCCCAGACTTTTTGACCAAATGGGAAAAATTGTCGCTTAAAAACGAGGAGAAATGACCCCCCTAAAATTTCGGCGCCGAAGGCGCCGAAAATTTTTTTGAGATTTATAAAAATTTTAATTTTAGTTAATACTATTTTAGTAAGTGTTTTTATGTTTTTAAAATTTATATGAATCTAATTATTGATTAAAAATAAGTAAAAAAGTTAAAATAACGTTAAAACTCATCAAAAAATAACATAATTTTACTTAAAATATTAAACTAAAAAGTTAAAAAATACCAATTTGTTGAAAAGAATAATCATATTACAATATAAATAGAAGTTTGAGATAGTTTAAGAAGTTAATAAAACAATAAATACTTATATTACAAGGTTTTTATTAATAATTTTTAAAATTTTAACTAAAAAATTTAAAATATTTTTAATTTTATAATTAGTATTCAATCAGTATTTACATAAAAATAACATTAAAAAATAAAAATATATATCTATAAACTATAAGCATTAAGTATTATTTAAAAAATTATTTTAAAAGTTAAAAATTGCTAAAATACTAAAAAACTCAGTGTATCATTAATGCCTTTATCACCTATTTTTAAGTATTTAATACATTATTATTTTATTTTTTGCTAAAATTAAGTTTTTATTAATTTTTTATATTTATTTTTGCTAAAATTTAAGTTTTTTTTGTATTTTTGTTAAATTTTAAGTTTTTTTAGTATTTTTGTAAATTTTACCTATTTTCCTGGGAATTTATACGGGAACTTATGGGAATTTTATCGAATTTACATGGGAATATTCGGGAATTTAAGGGAATATTAGGGAATTTTCTCTGGACCCCCCCCCTTGATTTTGGATTTTTGAAAAAATTGCCGTTTAAAAATGCAATAAAAATCTTACCCCACCCAATACCCCCCCAAGATTTTTCGAGAATTTTGTAAATTTTACCCCGGTCTACCCCCCCCCCCCTAAAATCCAAAACCTTGCTTAACCCTGATATACTGATATATAATATATCATATATATATATAGTAATTAAAATACTAATATTTCACAATTTTATATACAATTGTGTTAATTGCTTAGAGATATTTTATTTAACTGATATATACTATATAATTAAAATTGCAATCATTTAGTCTGATATATAAATAGAGTGACTTAAAAAAATATATTTTATTAAATCAGTTATAAACTATTAATGTGTTTATCAGTTAACTAATTAATAAGTTATAGTATTAGACATTATTTAATTATATTTATAATATAATAATTTGAGTATATTTTAAAACAAATATTAATTAGTGTCAATAAAAGTGTGAAATAATAATAATAATAATAATGTCTTATAGTAAACCAGTTAATAATAAAACAAATAATAATAATAACAATTTGGTGGGAAATTTGATACATATTGTCAATGACCTACAGGACAAACTCAATCCGTTGGGCGTCAAAAGTCTATCACTAGATTTACCGCAAATTGTGGTCATCGGTGGCCAGTCGTCGGGTAAGTCAAGTGTATTGGAAAATATTGTTGGCCAAGATTTTCTGCCCCGTGGTTCCGGTATTGTCACCCGACGGCCATTGGTTTTACAGTTAATTAAAAATAATAGTTCAGATGAAGGTATGTATTAATAAATGGGGAAAAAATGTTTAGTTATTTTTTTTTGTTTTATAATTATTGTAAAAATTTTTCTTATAATAATAATAATAATTTTTTGTTTTTTATCATAGTTTACGGTATTTTCAGTCATCAGCCAAACAAACGGTACAATGAATTTCATAAGATCAGGGATGAGATTGTCAGAGACACCGATAAAGTGGTGTCCAGTAGTGTCGGTATATCCGATAAACCCATAAAATTGAAAATCTATTCACCAAAACTGTTGGACCTATCGCTGGTAGACTTACCAGGTATAGCACGGGTACCAGTAGGTGATCAGCCCCAGGATATTGAAAAGTTAACCAAAGACCTGTCACTCAAATATATTTCAAATGAAAACAGTTTGATTTTGGCGGTAACGGCAGCTAATCAGGGTATGTAGTGTTCATAAATTAATTATATACAGTATATCCATACTTAACATTAGATAATATCATAAGTTATTGAATTATACTGTATATTAAATACTGTATTCAATAATTGTATTGAATTTATATATACAGTATATTATATACTGTATATATATATATAGATTTGTTTAATTAAAAAATCTGATATTATATATTAGGTTACAAAAGTTAATATTTTTTATAAATAAAATTTTCTCATAACTTAATACATTAAACAAAAACATAACTATAGCTAATAAGTAATTATTAGGAAAAAAAGTATTACAAATAGTTAGATACAAATCAAAAATTATTATTTAACAAAAATATATTAAATGTATAATAATTATTAATATAAACAAAAATTTACAGTTAAATTACTAATAATTATACTGTAAATATATTGTTAATATTTTTTTTTAAAATAAATAATTATTATACAAATATTTATAAACCATTTTTTTTGTTGCTAACCCCGTTATCATCAGATTTGGCCGTATCGGACGCCCTAACACTGGCCCGACAAGTGGACCCGGAAGGTAACCGTACAATCGGTGTACTAACCAAACTGGATCTAACCGACGACAAGGCAATGGCCCGCCAGATACTGACCGGCAAACACCAGATAAACTTGAAACGCGGTTTCATTGGTGTCATCAATCGATCGCAGGCCGAAATAGACGACGACACCGACATCGATAGTGCACTGGAAAAGGAACGGCAGTTTTTCCGGCGCGAGGAACAGTTTCGCGATATGGCCGACCGTATGGGTATACCCTATTTGCATCAGGAACTACAGCGTGTACTCAAACGACACATTGCCCAACGCCTGCCGCCGCTGATGGATCAGTTTGATTCACGTGTACACGAAATCAACGAACAATTAGATCGGATGCAAACACCGATCGAAGATAAGGACAAATCGGAGATATTGTCGAAATCTATTAAACAATTTGAACGCGAGTTTGAGATAGTAGTCGGCGGTAAACGATGGGAAACTGTCAACAATAAGCTGAGTCGTGGTGTGAAAATCAATCGCCTAATGAACGATAAGTACGCGCGCGATATCGAGTCGCACGTGTATAACGAACAGGAGATGCGTCGGGATATTGTTGTTGCCATTGAAAATACTTTCGGTGCCCGAACCGGACTGTTTGTATCGGATCCGCCGTTTATACAGTGTGTGCGAACACAGATCGGTATGTTTTTTGAATTATATTTATTTATTTTTTGTTTGTTTATAATTAAATAATTATTTTTAATCTTAATTTTTTTGAAATTTATAGACCGATATACCCGTCCGTCAATCGATTGCGTCGAATGGGTTACCGAAGAGCTTAAACTGATTGTCAGAGACTGTCTGAACAAAATCGATAGATATCCACAAATGGCGTAAATTATTATAATTTTTTAATTAATTTTTAATTAATACTTTAATAAAATTATTGATATTTATTTTTATTTTTGAAAATACAAAAAAAAATTAGGTCAATATTTTTAGAGGAAACCCTGGATTTTATTTGCAAAGCTAATCGCGAGTGTAAAAACTATGTCCGGCATTTTATTGATGAGGAAAAAATTATGAATGTCAACAATGATGATTTTGTTCAAATGACCAGGTATATATAAAAAATTAATTAATTAATTTTATATAAAATAAATAATCATAATAAATAATTTATATATATATATATATATATTTGTTTTGTTGCTTGTTTTTTCACACATTAAATAAAAACTTTTTTTTTAAAAAAAAGATCCGATGTTTTAACATTGATATCGGTCCAGAAAACTAAACCGGGTCAAAATAATAATAATCAACAACAAACTACCATGGTTAACGGTAACAACAGTGCATATGTTGGTGATGGTGCCGACACCATCAGCGATCTGGGACTGGACCAGTGCTCAAACTATATGGACAGTCAGATCGATGAAGTCAAAAGCAAAGTTGATTCCTATATATTGATATTGAAGAAAACGTTCAAGTTAGTTTTTTTAATTTTATTATATATTAAAAAATTATTGATTTAATTTTTTTAATTGAAAATTATGTTAGTTTTTTTTGTAACTGGATAATTATTTTTTAAAAATATATAAATATATTCATAAAAAAATATTACAACATTTTAATATATAATTAGATTAAATATAATTTTCTATATTTTATTATTTATTCAATTTAGGATTTTTTTATGAAAATTATTTCACAAATAAATTTATGTTTTATTTTTATTTTTTAAAAATTATAAAATAGGGATCGTCTACCGAAAATTTGCATACTAGAGCTCATCGACCAGACTACTGATTTCATATCTACCCGACTGTCCGATCAAATACGTGATAAATACCAGACCATCGATGACATACTGGGCCGCGACGCCAATGAAGAGCTGAGACGCGATTTGGAGACACAACACAAACAATACAAAGAGGCCATCGATATCATCAATAAATGCCAACACACGGCATAAATCAATAAATTAATAAATTTGTAATTTTTTATAAAATTATTTTATATTTTTTCTTATAAATTATATCTAAAATTAATTGTTTATTTTTTTAAAAATTATTTATAAAAATTTTATTAAATGAATTATTTTACAATAGTGTATTGAGTTTGAAATATGAGATTAAACTAAATTGAAATATTAAAATTATTATTTTTATAAATTATAAACTTAATATTTGAAATAAAAATACTTAAAAATAAATTTTTATTTATTATTTAAATGTCTATAATTATCTAGTGTTTCAATTAATTTTACTTATAATTTAATAACTTTTTTTACTATAACTGTTTTATTTTAAATATTTACTTATTTATTACAGTTATCCTATTTTTTGTAATTTATATGTTTAAATAACTAAAATTATATAGTTTAATTGTATAATAATAATAATATTTAGATATTTGTTATTATTAATTATATATCTATTAACTAAACAACATGAATTTAATTGGTAAATAATTATTTTTTAGTAATTAATTAATTAGCAGACAAATTTTGTTTGAGATATAATTAAATAAATAATTTTTAATTTAATATCAGTACTACTACTACTAGTAGTAGTAGTAGTTTTAATCAACAATTATGCAGCCATTAATCACGCGCCTATTGTACACTATACTAATGTGACACTTGACACGTGCGGTATTGGACGCGTTGCGCACCTGCTAAACAAACAATGTTTTCAATGGTATAATATGACCGAAAATAATATACTTAATGGACGGCCAGCCGCTCACGGGGAGATGCCATGGATTGTCTATATTTATATTGAAACCGGTTGGATCATCAAAGATATTAAGTAAGATATTTGTATTTAAATATATATATATATATATAATTTAATTAATGTAATGATTAATCACAAACAAATATTTACAATAAATTTATTAAAATTTTTCAATAAAAAAATATCAATTAAAAATTTTAATATCAATATAATTATACACTGATTAGTTTTAATTTTACATATACTGCACATATAATTAAATAAAAAAATTATAAACTTACAGTTTTTTGTTGTTGAAATAAACTACTATTTTATTTTTAATTATTTACTTTAAAATAAATCTATATTAAAATAAATATATTAATTTTATTATTATATTAAAAAATAAACATTTATATACATAATAGGGTTGGCACAGGTGTTATAATAAACAAACGTTGGATTTTAACGGCTGCACATCTATTATAGTAATATATGATTATATCTATCAAATAATAAGTTTTTAAAAAAAATTAATTAATTAATATATAAAAAAAATAAATAACTATTAGTAATATAGATTCGGGCAAATGGACTGATAGATATTCAATAAGCGTATATCCCGGTGCCATGTATTTGAGCAATTTGGGTAGACGTTACAATGTGGACAGTTATCGGGTGCACGAAATGTTTGTCAAACTAACTGATCCTAAACGATATAGTTGGGATTTGGCACTAATTAAATTGGATAGTGATATGAGCATGGACAAAATTGCTAACGGTAGTTATTATGGTAGAAATTCAATTTGTTTACCAGAAAACTATACACGCAATACGGGCGATGAACTGGCCATAGCGGCCGGTTTCGGTAAACTTGGTCCCGATCGGGACAATGACGACCGATTGCGTTTGGGTTGGCTTAAGATTACGGCTCAGACCTATTACAGGTCTCATCAGTATATTAAGGCGTTTCCCTATCCGCTAGCATTGGGTACAGCTATTTGTATTGTAAGTTTGTATTGTTATTAATAAACATAAAATAATTTTTTGCTAATTGATATACTGTTTTATTATTATTACTAACTATTAGGGAGACTCGGGTGGACCACTAGTACAGTATGTAAATGGTAGGGCAGTGCTCATTGGCATAACATCCCGATTTGTAACTACAACAATGGGTGCCGATTGTGTCGATCCCACAGATTGGCGACAATATGTCGGTTTTGTACGCGTGTCGTATCTAATCGATTGGATTATTGATGTAATTAATAAAAAATAATTACCAAAATGAATGCAAATTTTTAGACAATATTTAATTTTTTTTTTAAATGTATAAAAATATATTATATCATAAATAATTTTAATAATGTTAAATAGGTTTAATAAGCTTTAAAACTAAAACATCATATAATAATTAATTAATTAATTTGAAATTTTAGGTTATATGTTAGATAAATTAAAAAATAATATTAATAAAAATTCAATTATTTTAATTAAATTATTATTTTATTTATAAACTATTAAATATATTTAGTTATTATTATAATACTTAAAGATTATTCTTATATTGTATTAATTTATTAGATTATAATCAGTTTATTTAAAAAATAAAATTTCAATAAAGAATCATTAAAAAAATATAAATGATCATGTTCAAATCAATAAATTATAATTTTATTTACAAGTAAAGTTATTGCGCAATAACTTAAACTTTTTGTTGTTATTGTTGTTTTTGTTGTCAATGTATTATCTATTGAATTATCGGATCACTTATAAAATTATAACAATTATTTTTATTTTTAATAATTACAGTTTTTGAATAATTTAATATATTTGTATAGTTATGTAATATTAAATTATTTACAAATACTACAATACAAAAAAAAAATCAAAAAAAACAAAATAAGCAATTAAAAATATATTAAAAAGTAAAGATAGATTTAAATCTTTTTGTTTATAGCAAATTAGATTTTAGTTACCAATATAATGATATTATAAAATATTATTTTTTAATGAAACATTTTTTAAAAAAATTATTCAAGTTATTAGTATTTTTTAATTATTAGTTGAACTAAAATTAATAATTGTTATTAAAAAAAATAAATCTGAACTGTATAAAAATATTAGTATTTATTTTATATAATAATATTTAAATAAAAAAAGTCTATACTTTAGTATCTATTAAAGAAATATTTAAATAATATTATTTATTTTAATTAATAGATAAATAATTATTGACAGTTTTATATGCAATATATATTTATATATACCGGTACAGTAAATATAAAGTATATAACAAAATTAATTATAATGAATTATAATAAAAAAAATTATGTTAAAGACAATTAATAGAAACTATAAACTTTATATATTTATTATTTGATATAAAAAATAATTTAAAATAATTTTTATTTACTTTTATTATTTATTTTAATAAGAGCTCCGATTAATCAATTAAAAAAAGTGAGTAAAGAAATTAATAATTAAAATTTAAATTATAAAATTCATATAGTATAAAGTTTAGTTTTAATAAAAATGATGTATTATTTAAATTTAAAAATTAATTAATTGATTTAAACTGCTATTATCACATAATTTTTTTATTATTATAATAATTTTGTTTAATTTAAAAAACTAATTTAAAAACAAAATTAACAAAATATTTAAAAATAATGTTTTATTATAAATAAAAAATCTTATTATTTTTTTATTATTTGTTTCCTATTAATTTAAAAAATGAAAAATATTTTAAGTTTCTTATAACTTTATTAAAATATTTACAATTTAGCTAATATAGTTAATTATTTAAAGTTACAGTAATTAATTATTAAAATTTTTTTAACATAATTCCTAATTAACTTAATTAAAAAAAATATTTTAGATTAATTTATTGAATATTAATTAATAATGTTACAGTTTGATTAAAGATTAATAATAATAATAATATCAACACAAATAGTAATATTCATCAATGAATAGTTGGATAAACAGTAGAAAAAAGGTAATAATAATATAAGAAAATACATAAATTATTAAAAACAAAAATATTTAAATAAAATTACTTTAAAATTAAGATTAAAATTAAATTACTTACTTAATAAATTAAAAATTATTATATTCATTAGTAAAAAGTCTAGATAATAAAAATTTAATTATTTTGTGTGTGTTATAGTTTAGAAAATAATAATTAATAAAATTACAGTTTATTTTGAAATAATTTTTTAATCACCAAAATAAAAAATTTTTGTTTTTATATATTTAGATATATTAGATAAAATACTTTATTACAGTTTTATTTTTTTTGATAAATATCAAAAAATATATTATTACATAATTTATTAAAGATATTTTTATTTTAATTAAATATACTCTATTAAATAAATTATTTAATCATATTGTTAGTTATGCTATTAATAATATTATAAGTCCATTATTTTAAGAAAAATAAATAATATTATATCGTAGACCAAAGTCATACATAATATAAATACATTATAATATTAATTAATTTAGCAATAAATTAAATTATAAGAAAAAAATTATTGTTAAAAATACTCGATTTTTAAGTTTTCTATTGTTGTATAATATAGATATTACTAAAATTTTTTAAATAAAAATTTAATTTAATTTACAGTTTATCTGATCTTTTTAAAAGTTGATATCATTGAGGAACTCATTTAATCAAAGTTTAATTATTTTTTAAACTTATTATAATATAAAAATAATTGTTTACAGTTTTATTTATTTTATGCATTATATTTATTGTACTTTATATTATGTTTAACGAAAAAAAACTTTATTTTAATTTTATAAAAAAATATAATATTATATTACATAATTTCTAATAGTTTTAAGTTTTTTAAAACAAATTTTCACCTAACATATAATAATAAGTTAACTTAATAATAAAATTAAAAATAATAATTCAGTATTTTAAATGTATTTTCAATAATTAACTTAATTTTAATTATAGACATAAATTATTTCTTTTGAATATATTCATTAATTTTTTTTAAATAAAAATAAAATTAATTTCTATGTACTTTAAATTATTATGGATCAACATAAGATGCTAAAAAACATTACATAAAATCTGCTACAATAGTATATATATATTTAGTAAATTATAAGTTTACAGTTTATTTTTTAAAAAAATAATGTTTAAATAGTTTTATTTAAAAATATTATTTATAATCGTTTTATTGCTAACAAACAAAAATAAAATATGAATTTTTTATACATAACTTAAATAAAATAATTAGTTATAGATTTAGAATAATTAGGAGA